AACTTGACAATTTTGGCCCAAATTTTACAACTCACTATTCGGTTAATAAACCACTCAAATGAAAACTGTCATGATTGTTTATTAGAACTAAAAATAAAAGATAACAGTTTTCGTTTTTAGTCTGCCTTGGGCTTAAATTTGTCTTTTTTGCTGACCATTGCTCCATATTGGCTCTGCATTGCATACCATAAACTGAGATTGATAGCACCAACTGTGATTGATTCTATAGGAATGTATATTCATAACTCAATGTATGTCATGACCAATTATTAGTATTGTTACAGATATTATAAAAGATTATGAAAGATTTATCACATTTTCTTCAAAAGCACTTACCATTGTAGTATCCAGTACTACATACATTTTGACAAATTTCTGTGATGCGTAGAATAATTGTTTCTAAAATAAATTTAAAAAAAACACATACAAATTTAGATAGGTATTATGCACAGAAATGCTACTACATGTAACAGAGACACAAAATTCAGCAAACCTCTTCACAACACCTCTCACTTGGACAGTCTACTGCTCATGCCTATCATTCCAGCTTAGTCTACAATTTATTTACCATTAAAAGTACACTATAATGTTATAAATACAAATGTGCATTCATAACACTGTAGTCTCTTACCAACTGCTTAGGTAACTGCACTCACCCATGTCTTTAGCAGAGAAGCATTCACCAACCTTTTAGCCCTCGCCATGCTGCTCTCCTCGCTGCTGGTCCCAGTTCCTTGGTTGAAATCATCATTCTTAATGATTTCAGCAAATCCAATGCTTCATCATTGGGAAGCACTGGTAGGATAGTGTACATGCACAGCAAATCACAGCACACAAGCACCAATTAAATGCTGCTCTAAAAATAAAACATTTGCTTGAGAACGGAGTTTGACTGGGTTCTCAACGTATAAGCACCACTAGTGGATATCAGGACAAAAGCCACTAGAGATGTGATAACCCTAAATTGAAGTGTGTTATTCCAATGCAATACAAAAGCGTGTTTTACATCGCAAGGTTAAAACTAAAGGGCCACTGCGCCTTCATTTAAATGAAGAGGTCTGGGTGCCTTTAGTGGTCCTTTAATTACCATAACGTCTATTGGTCCTTAAATGAATCAGTTCAACTTGAACCCATTTGCATCATTCTATGCGTACCACATGTACTGGAACTTCATATAACTTGATTACCTTGCTTGACTTCATCCTTCACTGACTGAACTACCTTGATAATGTAGGTTTCTTCAAATCACAGAAAAAAATTTGATTATGACAGCAACAGACATTTGAAACTCCAAGACTCACAAGCTCTAAAAGTCAGCTATCAAAATGCAAACAGTGTACACCATGCTTATACACAGACTTGCCTTGCCTAAGGATTTCTTAGCTGTAACTAGTTGACTGAGCTCAGTTTTGCCAGACATGCTTTTTGTGCATGTCAAACAGCATGGTACCACCAAGTAGTTCAGCAGTAATATTACAGGAACACTGCAACCATAAAGTACTAAAACTTGCTGAAGTGCTCTATGTGTATAGATCGATTCTTCTATTTTATGTTATTAAAAAGTGCCAGTTTCAACAGTTATGTGAGAAGATGCAACACCAAAGAACCCCTCAAGTAAGAAGCAGCTTACTTCTCAAATGAAAGTATCAGTAGGAGGTAGGCTTATGACAAACTGCATTGTATAGGTAAAATATATCACACAATAACAGTTATGGAAAGTAAAAATGTAACATAAAACCCTTCACTGTGTACAGTAAGGTCAGTAAATACATGTTGAGCACAACTATATATTCCATACCATGGGTCGTCAACCTGGTCCCTACCGCCCACTAGTGGGCATTTCAGGATTCCAGGTGGGCGGTAGGGATTTCCTCATTTGGAGAGATTGGGTGGGCGGGTGCGAGCCGGCGGTACCCCTGCGACTGGGTACTGCCATCACCATTTGCAAACCGCCGGGGCCACTGTCCAAGGGGGCCCAGTCAGCGCTGGGTGCTTTAACAGCGTGACCGGGCCCCCTGTGATTACATCACAGAGCTGGGAGGAAGTGACTGCATGTCACTCCTCCCAGCTAACACTGAGAGCCGCGCGGGAGGAAGACCAGGGAGTCAGAGTGGGAACTCTGACTCCCATCCACCTGAGCCACCACTGGACCCCAGGGAAAGTCACCTTCCTGCACCTTAAAGGTAGGAAACAGGAGGGTGACTTAAATATAATGTGTTTGTTTGCATGTGTGTGTGTGTGTCTTTGTATGTGTGTGTATATGTGTATTTGTATGTATGTCTTGTATGTGTGTGTATGTGTGTCTTGTCTTTGTATGTGTGTGTATGTGTCTTGTCTTTGTATGTGTGTCTTATGTATGTGTCTGTATGTATGTGTCTGTATGTATGTGTGTGTCTTATGTATGTGTCTGTATGTGTGTCTTGTGTATGTGTGTGTCTTTGTATGTATGTCTTATGTGTGTGTCTGTGTGTATGTTTGTATGTATGTGTCGTGTGTGTATGTGTGCCAGTCTGTTTGTATGTATGTGTCGTGTGTGTGTGTGTGTATGTGTGTGCCTGTATGTTATAGTGGGCTATAGTAAGTGGGCTGCCTAGCTCAGCCTTCCTACTGGGCATTGCCATAAGTAAGGTTAAAAAATAGAAAAGGGGGGGGGGAAGGTGGGGAGGGGAATTGAGTAGGAAGAGGAGGGGAGCTGACGCACACATGAAAAATCATATTATGTGCAAACAGAGAAGTCGTCTGAATATCACCGAAAGAGGAGGCCTTCGTTTGTTCCTTATGAAAAAAATCGAACCAGATATAAAATATTTAGTGTCGCAACATCAACCTCAAGGATCTCATTAATCATTAGTAAAGGTAATTTCTATTTACTTTATTGTTTTCTTATTACATTTTATAAAGTTAAAAACATTATAAACATGCATTAAGTAGAAATAAAAAAATAAATGTACGTACACTTATTTTTTTTAAAACACCCTCCTTTCTAAAAAATATTCCGCACTTGCACGAAAACTGGTGGGCGGTAAGGATATTTTTCCATCAAGAAAGATGCATTAGTGGGCGGTAGGAAGAAAAAGGTTGACTACCACTGTTCCAGACCAATGAACAAATCTGCCTTGCCCACACATTTCTACAGTATGAAAGTCCTTTAAATGTAGCTAGGGTTTCTGGCCAGGTTTGTGCAAATAAGACTGTTTAAGCTATTATTAAACTCTGTATTTATACAGACCTATTCACTTTCAGCATTTCTATCCTACCAATGATCTATTATAATGATGTTATTAAGCCATTCAAAACAGCCACTGAAAGAGAGCCTTAATTAGATGACCTCTACCGACCATGTTGTATACGCAGGAGAAGGGTTGTTACATAATTCTGCCTATTACTGATATTGCATAGCATTTATATATCACACCATCACTATAATATTATGGTTTGTTAGAACACCAGCTCATACTGTTGAGAGCAATTGAAGATGAAACAGTCTGTACTTAAGTTAATTGTCTGGCACAGGGCCTTTTAACCTGTACTACGCAATAGTTATGTTAAAGGGGCACTCTCAGCAACATAATCACTCCAGCTCATTGTAACGGGTATAGAATAAAACTATGGGTGTTGTAGCCTTTGGTTTTTATAAAAAACAGGGTTCTCCCCAGAACCTATAATTCATCACCTTTTTGGTGGCACTCATAATTTGGAAATTACACTTCCCCAAGATCAAGTTCAATTATTATTATTATTTTATTATTTATATAGCGCCAACAAATTCCGTAGCGCTGTACAATTACATTAAAACTGGAAATTATATTATGCATTCTTCAATATTTTATAAACTATATTACCTCTATATTGCTGGATCGAGATGACTTGACAACTTTATTGTCTAGCCAAGTGGTATTGGTCACCCCACATGTTCTGGGGGTCTCATCCTTATCTTCATACACAGCATGTTCATCACTGTCAGTAGCATTCAGGGGCTCAATCAAGAATCTGCGACTTCGGGTATGGATAACTCCACTTAAGATAAATAGATAAAGATTACTCCTGCAACATCACACACATAGCAATAGCAGTACCCATTATTTATCTCACGGGATCCACACCACAAAGAGCAACTCTCACCCAAACTGCACCTAGATTACACAAAAGCACTCACATGACTTATTAAATTTCATTTGTAATCTTCAAGGTACCAGCATTAAAGAAATGTCATCCACCAGCTCATTAAACACCTGGCAGTGATGCAGAAATGGCCACTGGGACTGATATTACCCATAATACCAACAATTCACACAATGTTCATGCTTTGTCTTATGTTTTAGACACTGAATGCATTCGGCCGATTGGTGCAGATTTGGTAGGGCTGACTGAATTCTAACTAGAATTAACTTTAGTATATATGAGAATTGTCACTCTAGTCGGAAAATAGGCATTTTCATAAGATATTGTCATTCCAGACAAAAAACGGTGACTTGAGAAATCTCATCATATTCAGATTGGGATGCAGAGAGGACACTGTCCTGGTGCTGTATTAGAGTTTACTGGTATTTTTTTTTTTTAAACGTTAACTTGGTAACTTTATTATGTATATTAAGGCATATTAACGAGGGAGGAACTACGCACTGTAAGATTGTGTAATCAAAATAAAGTTGTGTCACTAAGCAGATCAACATTCCATAAAATAAACAAAGTGGTCAGGTGTTCATAAACATTACAAGAGAACAGAACAGAAAACACAGGTAAAATGTTAGCACAGCCACTTATAATCGCTGATTTGCTGCAATTAGCTGTAATTATCTAGAATTAGAGAGAGGGGGAGGGAGAAAGAAAGATAACCTAGTAAATCTTTGCATTGCAAGGCACAAGACATTCAGATTTGGAATGTCTAAAACTATAGAATATGGCAATTTTGAGTAATCCGTCAGCTTACCTTAAACCTCTACATGTGCTAACGCTGGCCATTGAATCATCATCATTCTTCACATGTCCATGATAATAGCAGTGATCCTGCAATGTAAGAACATCCTCCAATAAGTTAATGCCCCGTCCTTTTGTAATACAGTCCCCATGACCCTGTCTGTAACACTCCTTGTACCTGAATTTTAGGGCTGTGTGTTATCGGCGTGCCATCTGGCAGGTAAAGTGTCTCTGTGTAATCGTCACTTATCAAGCCTCTGCAGGAAACACATTAAACTTACTTAATACTCAAAAGAAGGTAAGTACATACGTATAAATACACACACATTTTAACATGTGAAATAAAGAGACAGCTGCTTAATATTTAGCGTGGCAGAGGATTGTACAATACACAGGACAGCATTGGGTGCACAATGCACTAGCAGGGGAATATAGTTAAGGTATAGTGTCAGGTTCACACAAACAGGTAGAAAGAAAAATTAAACATATTTACAAACAGTGGTGAGGTTTAATCATTACCCAAGATAACGTGACTATGGGCTGGTCCACAGGCTCTCTCACTGGCCTGATGTAATTTGTATAAACGCCTTGTATCTTTTGCCATCAGTGTAATAAACAGTGTTCAATTTCAGAGATCAAGACATCTGACACGTACAGACCTTTGTAACATTCTAGAAAGTACCATTTCCCTGCTTGTAAAAAAGCAAACTCAGTAGAAACATTTTAAACACTGAGTGACACTTTTTGGAATCCATTTAGATGTGCCATTTTATAGTCTGAAGTAAAGGTCCTTGGTTTTCAAGACAACTGTACTAATTTTATCACAAGCCAACGCAGGAGTAGTAAATAAACCTCTAAAGCCTTCTCCTCACCACAACACAAACAGATGGATTGATTTGTCAACTTATCCATTTATTCCCTAGTTCATTCAGCGGCTTCATCTGCTTGTCACAGTTTTTACAAGCACAGAAAAGGACCTTCGTTTAAGTCATGTGACCATAATGCTCTATTGTTCAGTAGTTAATAAGTTTCTTTACATAAGCAGGAATCAGACTTTCTCCTTTCTGTAAATTGTTATCAGAGAGACGGAAAAAAAAAAAAAAAAAGTATTCTAATCACTTCTGAGGAATCCAGCCAGGAAAAAACATATTTGTACAGCACAGTAAAACCATGGATATCACCAATTCGTGGCGTTTACATAATAACGCTGTATGCAGAGCTCAAAATTCTAATTCTTAAAGGGATACTCTGGGCACCAATACAATTTTTATGCATTTGATAGATTGACCTCATTAATATGCTCAAAAAACATAAATAAATGTTCTTAAGAATTCTGCACCATCAGTCTACCTAGGTAATCATGTCCCTCATTCCTCAAAGACTTCCTTATCAAAAGTATATACACAGTCTCAGCCACAACAGCACGGATTCAGCGGCTTTTAATTCACAACCAGGCTGAATGGACGAAGGAAATTTTTATTCAGTATGAATTCATTCGTACAAAATGAAAATTTCACTGGTGCACATGTCTGCTATATTAAAAAGAAGAAAAACTACCATGCAAATCTTAAATTAGAGAGGCAAAGGTTTAAAATTAATATCAGGAAGTATTACTTTAATGAGAGGGTAGTGGATGCATGGAATAGCCATCCAGCTGAGGTGGTAGAGTTTAACACAGTAAAGGAGTTTAAGCATGCGTGGGATGGGCATTAGGCTATCCTAGCTATAAGATAAGGCCAGGGACTAATAAAAGTATTTACAGAATTGGACAGACTAGATGGGCCGAATGGTTCTTATCTGCCGTCACATTCTATGTTTCTATGTTTAGCTAAGTGTGCCTGGTTAGATATTTGCAGGATATATCAGAACTCTTCAAGCTCACGTACTCAGTTCTTTTAAGCTGTAGGACCAAGGGTTTTCCTTCCAGTACTAGACCATAATGTACCACATCTGGATGATTGCTCTAGGAAGCAAAGAAAGAAACACATGAATATCCATTCATTTATAATAGGCAATGGAAGCATGCATTGATTGACATATACAGAGTTATTTACTTTAGTGAGAAATTAAAAGAAAATGTAAAATTCAATTTGAATTCTCACTTTAAATAACCAAACACATATAGAAATACTCCGAATCTCCGTGGATGCCAGCTGCTGGTAAAACATACATGAATTTAGATGATATAATCTGTCTCTGTCATTTTTCTAATTTTGTTCTAGACATTTTAATCCTGTGCATTTCCACTTGGACTCTCAGGATTTGAATCTCCTGGAGTGATGGCCTTGATTTGATATTTTGGATAAGATATTTAAAGGATATAATAGTTTGAAAACCATTTCAATATCTTGATTTTTTTTTATATATTTATATATTTTTATATTTTCATATCCTGAAAAATTATTTGAAAAGTTTAACTAAAAATGTTAAATTGAAACCTAAGTTAGGCAGCTTGTATGCACTTACAGGGTTATTTTATAAAGTGAAAATTCAAAGTAAATATTAAATTTAAGGCCAGAGTAGCCGAATTTGAAGCATATTTAACATAGAGATTTTTTTCCAGCTAAACTTCTTTGAAGTTGTTTTAGTGACTAGTGTTTCTTTAAAATTGATTACATTCACATAATTTACATTCCAACTGATTAATATTATTTGGATAAAAACATTTTTTTTAAATTATGTGAAGGTTGCTTACCGTTTTGAGAAAATTACAAAAAATTCTCCGCTCTTTTATATGCAATGGGAGTGACACATTTGGGAACCGAAAAGAAAAACCAAAATGGAACAGAAAATATAGAGACGGAAGAGGCGCAGTAAGGAATATTTTTGCGTAAATAAGGGAATAAATAGAAGTGGTATCTGAAATCCAGACTAAAATTGCGCGCAACACTTTGTACTAACATTCTAAATCAATTATTGCATTATATGTTTTTTTCTAGGGGTATATTTAAGGTATTGTTACCTGCGTGTCTCTCTTGTGTTGTGTATGAAGTTTTTGTGGAAAAACCACTTCATATTTCTGCCCTTCAGGTAGCCGATTAGATGATGCTAGAAAGGAAACAACTTGTTCATCAGAAAGAGAATATTGCACAAAAATCACAATAAATAAGATCAGAGAACAACATATACAACAGAAGATATATCTCTAAAAATGACCTCATGGGTCTCATTCATATAGTAAAAGTGATTTTATCCACACACACACACACACACACACACACATAATATATTCCAAAAATAATCAGCAGTTCAACAAGTGAAACATATGGATAAAACTGAATTGATATTGCTAATATAGAAGAAGAACCCCCACATAGCAATACAAAGCAAGATGCTGGTGCCTAAGGCACCCCAAGGTTTGGTCAAATTTCTTGAAAAATGGTTCTACCTTGAAAATGGTGCCTGTAGCCTAATGCCGCCATAAATGCTACATCAGAATGTAGCGGTTATGGAGCAAAGACTGGTCCTTTAAAAGTATCAAAAAATGTGGAATTATTCTCTACATCAGGAAATGTTGAGGTTCTATTAGAGAATTTCCAATTTTAGACTGAATTGGATGAACTGGAAAGCTAGCAGAGTTGAAGAATTCCCTTGTCAAATCCAACAATTTCCAGTTTAGTATATAGCCCTGAAGTTTTTCCCCCCAATTAAAATAAAAAGGGGATACACAAATGTTCACACCAGGAATTATTGCTCAAAAATATTTTTTTTAAATTGTTTTCTGAATTACCCTGACAATCCATAATTTTAAGTAATGCAAGTAATATGAAATGATGTCGAGATCGATACTTGGCCTCTGTCAGTCAGATAAGATGAATAATAATAACTATAGTACATTCAGAGTAATGTTGTACCTCTGCAAATGGATAATATGTCAGGACCCAGAAAAATGTTTTTGTCTGGATGACATAACAGAACAAGAACACACAAAGGGTGAAACAATATGATACATCATGGCATGGCACAACAGGAAAAAATATAGCTTTTACTTGTATTTATAAATTGTAATAAATTTCTTATTTTTCGTATTCTCATTTGGGTCCCTCAGTTCAATCCATGCAGGGTTATTCAGTAAGTTGCTGAGAATCCAAAGTCAATTTCAAATTTAATGTCAAAATAGCCAAATTGGAAACATTTTCTAAGTCAGCGTTGCTTTCATTTTAGCTACTATGGCCTTCCATTTCATAATCACTTTAAAATCTCGAATTTTCATTAAAAAAAACCCAAACACTTGTTTTAAAAAAATAATAAAAGATAACGCCTTCAATATATTTATTTTTCTGAAAACTCTAGAGTTTATTTACTAAGTTGCGGGTTTCACAGTATTGTTCAGCTTTGCCAGAAAAGAACAGGAAAAAAACAACTAAAAAACTAGCTAAATTCATTTAACAATGTTCGCTGCAGGGATTAGTGGGTAAAATCATTCATATACTCGAGACAAGTGGCAGCATGACTGTTCTCCAGAAACAGCTGAGTTCAAATGAGGTATGTTGTATTACACAGAGAAGAAGTGTTTTTTTCTGGTGTTTCTCTGAATATTATTAAATCTCTAAAAGAGGAAATTAAATCCAAGTGAGAAGTGTTAAATGCTCATCGAGAGCTATTATTTTATCACAAAATGCAAGCATTATAATCCCATTATTGCTAAGTACTTTGAGTAATTTAAGATCTCAATGCATTTTGTGACTGGTTACATTGATAAACAAGTAGAGCATTTTATATTTTTTCCAACCTATTAGGTACCTTTATACTACCATGAATTACTCTTAGCACCATAACTACCTCGGTGATTTGAAGTGGTCATGGTGACTGAAGTCTGTACCTGAAGCTTTGCCCTTTGAAACACTACGCATAAAAAAATTAACTATCTAGCATAACAAAGTTCCAAGCTGGGCAATCAATGTCAATTCTCTGCAAAATTGGCATCCGACGCCAGCAGACACAGCATGCTGGAGTAAGACAAACAATGGAGGAACAACCCCTCTAACCCTGATATTCTACCCTTAGCCCATTTGCCATGACTCCCCTCCTGGCTGAAGGAGTGACATCAGCCAAGTAGGATCGGGCTGAGGAAAGAACTTTGACTCAGAGATGGAACAGAGGTAACTGGGAGGAGGTGCAGGCCAACACATAAAGGGTTACTCTAACCAAAACCACTGTTTTAGTAAAACACTGGTTTTTGGTTGAAGAAACGCTTTAAAGTCGTAGGTGCGACATGTCCCAACACTACTGTGTCTCTGTCAAGCCTTGACAATGGTAAGGATAGAAAAAAGAAACCCGGTCATGTTGAAATATTGCTGAGTCCACTTGTTAGACGTTTGTTGAATGTAACAATTCGAAACTGAATTTATGTTGTCCAGAGTTAACAACTGTTTCATTACGAATACTTTTTACATGGGATGGAATAGCAATAATATGTTGCAACTGTGCATATATTCTATTACAGTGGTCTTAAATAACTGAATTCAATGTTCATTATTACGGCCAGTTGTCAGATGCACAGTGTCTGTTTCAAAGTTCTACCAATCAAATCAGGACATTTTGGAGAGAATCCCTAATTTAAATAAACATTCCTAACTCTCCAGCTCTCAAACTGGTTTAAAAAATGCTTGCTTTCTCTGCAGTGATTAACAAAGTGTCTCCTCTTTCACACTTTATGAAGGTGCTAATTGCAAAATAAATTGACACAGTCAGGAGGCTATTCCTCACTGCTTGTGCCCGAGCACAGAGTAGATGGGAGGGCATTTTATAGAGAAGCATTGCAAGTGCAGCGTGGCAGCTACTTTGTACGCTCCATATATTCTAAATGCTTCTCTAAGAGAAGCATTCTACTAGCCGGCAGATCGTTAGTACAGCTGCAGTAAGGGACCCATTCTCCATTGGATTAAAGATAACTCTTTTAGGGGGCTGTGAGAGGCACAATTATCTACATTTATTTTTAAACAACGTTTATTTAGTTTTCACACTGACGTCTACCTTTAAATATAGACGCATCATGCACGGAACATGGTAAAGTATAATCCATTTATTCCACTTGGTCACCACCATTTAATCTTGCTTTTCTTGGAAGTAGATTCACAGCTCAACTCTCCGATTAGCCAAGAATAGCCAAAATCAATTTGAAAATGTTTAGCGTCAATGTTGATAGTCTTTTCATTTTGTATTATCATGCCTCAATGGACATTTCAATAAGTAATAGCAGTGTGATATTTTTACATTAACCCCAAAATGATTGGGACTGACTGGATTTTATTAGGTAGGAATGGACTAAGGGGGAGGAGGGGGTGGCAGGGCCAGGGCACTACTGACACCATAACTACTATAGAACACTCTACTGGTCGTGGTGCTTGAAGTGTACATTTATAGAGTTTAACATTTATCTTTATATATAAAAGTGTATATTGAAATCTGGGCAAAGTGCTAAAAGTGGATCAGGTAGAGCATCCAATCAGGTTTATGTCTTAATGTGGGGATAGAACAATAAATAAGACGCAAACTATTACAAATGTTAACAGGAAACCTGAGGTTATTAAGGACCCTGTTTAAAAGGGCTTACAATCTAGAGCAGGTGAGGCAAAAAAAAAAAACACAAGAGGAAAAGCAACATAGGGGTATGGTTAATTGATCTTTAAATATATCCAGATTGTATATCTACTGAAAGAAAAGCAGGGCTTTTTAAAATCAACAGGATAACCTTTGACGTTGATCACAGCTAAACATTAAATTTTCTCAGAAAGGAATTATAGTGTCACCTGAAACAGTTACCAATAAGATAATTCCTTAAGTTGGTTGGTGATATCTCTTCGAGCTATATGCTTCTAATGTGATTCAGTTACATAATATACCAGTATTGTTTTTGGCACTAAAGTTGCTATGAGCAAATCTGAAAAACTAGTGTATTATATAGTGATGTAGCAAAAAAACAAACAAAAAACAATGCATTTTAATAACGACATATCAGCAGTATCACATTTACCTAGATTTCTCAGGAGCAAACATTATTGTATATGTCATATTAACCGCATATATTACACAGATGCCATAATAAAAAGTAATTATATAATTAAACAATTCTCTTAGACACACACTATTATGTGATTTTTAATTAGTCATGAGCAATCCTTTAGTGATCCTTATAGACAAGATACTACAAAAACACTCTGTGGTTTATGCACAGTGAATTGTGTTGTAACTGACAAATAATTATGATTATCCAATCTGGCTTCTGCAATCAGTGAAAGTATATCATGGCAATAAAGCTACCCCATAAAAGGGCACATATGTTTAATGAACGTTAAAGTACAACTGTAAGCTCTGATATGTTTACAGCTTAGTAGCCAATAAAAAGGTGTCTATGTGTTGAGCTTTTTTCCCAAAATAGTGATCCATTTAAAGAGGCAGTTGCCTGGGTGCCAGTTTACTTGAAGCTTGCCGGCACCCATTAACTCTGTCCATCAACCTCCATTCCATATTTAAAGCTTCAATCAATATGCTTCGGACCAGGCACCGCTTACAATAACAGACTCCCCATTGAGAAAAGAGAGAGAAAATGATATGTTTTTACTCTTTTTAACCCCTACAGGTAAGCTGGAACCATGGACCTCCTCACTCTATAACAACTTCATTCCAATATAGTTGTCAGGGTGCCTGGAGTGTTCCTTTAATATGGATTTACATATTTACATAGTATGCATGGTTGTCATGATACACCCTGGAACACCGTGCAAATTACTGGTATGCCATTATTTATTGCACATATAAGGAAAGAATATGTCTTGCATGCACACATGCAAACAGCATTATAGGAGAGAAAGTTCTCTTGTTGCCGTGCAGAAAGCAGACTTAGGTAGATTTCTGTAACCAGAAACATTGCGGAAGATCATTTAATAATTATACTGAGTGCATAACACACTCTATTACCTATATATGGCTTTGCATTAAATGGACACTCCAGACCCCTAAAGCACTTTAGTTTGCTAAAATGCTTTATGTGTGAAGTTTCCACTTTTTTCATTTTGGAAAAAAAGTGCAGATTTCAATACAAATTGACACTTTTATTAATTTATTAGGTTACATCCCATGGCTTTCATGCAGAGAATTGGTCCTGTTACTTCCTGGATTGTTTAGCTCAGTAAAACTAAACTCAAGAGGCAGCAATTGCTCCTTGCAAAGACTTCACATTGAGCTGCATTGGAAAGACTGTGATTGGACAGCCACAGAATTTCTGGACTGGGTTAGAAGGAGAAGGCTTGCAAAGGAAGCAGACATGAGAAATGCAGGTTTAGCCATCTGTTTTTATACATAACCGCAATAAAAAAAATGTTGGGGGTGACAGTACCGCTTTATCCATACAGTGGAAATGGTTTAATTTAATTTCCCCTAATTCTTATAATGAGTGAAGTGTCCCATGAAGTCAAACAAGAATCAACACTGAATCAAACAAGAGTTAAATTAAACAAAACAAAAAATTCCCTCTTACATTGTATCTCAGGCTTCCATTTCAGACTAGTGGTATGCTCATTGTATACTTAACAAGTTATCTTCTTAAAAACTAAATGAGCAAATCACAGTCTCAACAAACAATAGTGCGGGGCATGTAAATTGAACATATACCGTATATAGTGAAAAGATGTATTACAGGGGGTCCCACTCACATTTGCCAGAGCCTTTTCAACCCTGGCCCTGGCCCTGGTGTTTTCACTCCACTTGAGAGGGCTATATACCACAGCTTGCATGATTTCCAACAGCGCAGTGATCTTCGCTTTGAGGATTTCACTAGGGGAGATCAGAGACACCAGGACTCAATGGCTTTATAGCATGAGGGAGGTGGGCAAAACACGTCACTCTGATGACATGGAATCCACATGTGCCTGTTACCCAACGAAATCCGGGAGAGATTGTTCAGGTGGTGTTTTTTTTAACTAAAATTCATGTGATAATGTGAGCCCTGGCTTGGAAACTCACCACTTATTTGATAAAGCTGCTTTTTACCTTTTTTTTAAAATAAAGTATGTTTGATTCTGTACCATTGGATACTGGCGTCCCATCTCCCCTAGAGAAATCCTCAAAAGCAAGATCACTGCGCTGTTGGAAATTGTGCAAGCTGTGGGATATAGGCCTCTCAAGTGGAGTCATACCACCAAGACCCAGGGTTGAGAAGGCTCTGACAAATGTGAGTGTGACCTCCTGTGATAAATCTTTTCAGTAGATATTTGTTGAATGTAGATGGTCTGCACTATTATTAGTTTATATGGTGATTTACATATGTTTTGTTTAAGATTACCTGTTAAGTATACAATTGAGTGCACCACTTATCCGTTTTCTCTGCTATTATAGTGTCACTTTTTTGGTGTAGTGCTGCTGGTTGTGTGAACACAATTTTTTTTTGTCTATATTTACACATATTTATATTGTTTTCTGCATTTAAGCATTTTTCCACTGTTTTGGTTTACACTTGTTCATTTTCAGACTTCCTAAATTTTCACAGACAGAGGAGGAAGAGGATACCCAACCAGACTCATAATCCCCCACCCCCTTACAGAAACCTGCAATGTCTGCCAATTCTGAAATCAGTCATGAACACAAATGATTAAGAAATAATGCTAGACTGTGAAGATATTAGCTATCAAAGATTCTAAACTTCCCAGTGAATGCAGCTTACCATAACTTATCTTAATAGCATGATTAACAATGTAAGAATTATTCACTAAACAGCATTGTGTGATACATTGGACATTTCAATACAAAAAGTAAGCAAAAAATCTGATCTGAAAACTCTCTAGCCCTAAATTATTTTAGGTTTTCATCATAATTTACTACAATAAATGAAATTAAAAAAGGGAAATAAAAAATAAATAAAAAAGGGAAAAAAAAACAAAACGTGAAGGCTTTCTGACTGATCCATTACTAAAGCCTATTGTTTGTGGCTAGTAGGATCTGGAACAATGATAACATTTCTGGTGTCATTTTAACACAAATTTACATTCCTTTGCTGATGGTGAGAGGGGGTACATGGAATATAACATGACTGAGGGGAATGTATGATGGCAGTTTAATAAGAGTAAGGGAAACTGGTATTTGGCAATAGATTATTAATGGGGTAGAAGGATTTTCTGCATTTACTGAAACAACACACTGTCAACTACAGTTACTAGAAAACTGTGTGCATTACTGCCTATATGTAATCGCTCTGCGTTTCATTATTCGTCCTTTAGGGTCAGAGTGCAAGCAACAGAACAATAATAAAACGTACAATTCTAAATCATGTAAAACACAGACTTGTCCCTATCAAAAAACATTTCCCTACCTATTGTATAACAAACAGTATGTGTAGATAGGTATTTAATCAAGCAACACACTGGTGGATTACATTTATATTACTGAACGTTCTTTGGACAACCCTCTCCAATACATGGATCTCCTAATTCATGATCTGACCATTCCATACACGATCTATCCTCCCCTACCTCCCCACATGCAGTACAGTTCCTGTAACACAAAGTGGTGTGGACTTATACATTTACTGCCCTTCCCTACAGAGAGTCCTGACTGCAGGGCAGGCTTTTGGAATATACCAAGTTAAAACAAACGGTGGCCAGGCATTATTATCATGATCTTATTATGATCATAGCTAGACTTTCTCTGCCCTTCCTTCCTTACCTGTATACAAGGTGTGGGACATGAGGAGTTACTCACCTAATACCTGGCAGAACAGCACTCCAGCAAGAATCAGCAGGACTGGGTGCAGCATTCTTGGACTGTGAGTCTCCGAGATAGATGTGGCAGCTGTGAGTGTCTCTCACAAAGTAATTAAAACTGAACTCTGTGGGGCTTTATAACCCATAGACTATCCTGAGCAAACAGGTTACTCAACATTGCCTGGAAGGCGGAAGTTACAGTCTGACACTGTTTCTACATGTGTCTAGGGGTGGATTCTTGTGCTGTGTACCTACTGTGTATATTTTGGCACCTTCTGAAATTGTGTGATATTGTGTTTTATTTTTACAAGTTTTTATTGGTTACATTGTGATGAGGGTTTACATGGAGGCAGTTCGGTACTTTGGAGACCGATTAAAAAAAAAAAAGATTTTTTTTGGCAAATATCCATTTTACCTTGGGAAATTCGTGGTAGATAGAAATAAATCATGGACTAGAAAATGATTTTGCTTTTATTTTTGCACAGGTTAATTGTGTGCATTATTCGTGAGGTAACAATCCACCGTTGTGTATAAATTATTTATCTATGCAGGTGGCATGGTTTCGGAATGAATGTCCACATGTAAAAAAGTGTGAAATCTTGTATCTCGTTACAGCAAACAAAGACAATGGAAATAGTGTTTATCAAAGATGATTAACCCTTTCAAATCTCCATATCAAACTATGTGAATGACATCAACAATGGAAGGATTATTCACTAAACAGCGAAGTAAAACGTAATTCCAATGGAAGTGGAAGTAGCTGATCCAAGAAACCTCTCTATTCCTGCTTTAGTCACTGCTTGGCGTTTTACATTTCAATTTTAAGTCATATCCATTTACTGGGAAGTGAATGAACCCTCGTGACAGACTTTCTGATTCAACCAATAATAATAACAACAACCAATAATACAGCCCATCAGCCTTAGAAAAGTGTAGTAAGGAGCATGTAAGGAATATTAGTGATAAATTAACAAAACAAATTTGTAACAGGTATTGTATCTATAATATATATAAAAAAAATTGCTTCAATATTAGTAGATTTCCGCAAAACTTTGTAACGCTAATGCCCATGAAATACAAACAACGACAAAGAAAGTGTAGCAAAAACAAAATTGTCTGATAACCAGAAAGGAGACTGTGATTGCCTCCCTCCTACACTCGCAGTACAACCCCCTAGCAAACATTGAGAAGAGTTGAAAGTAATTGGCAGCGGTCCTGCTGAGAAGGGGGATTGCAGTCCATCACTCACTCTTTGCGTGATCTCTGCAGTCTCCCTACCAAATACATCCCAGTTTGTGTGTCTGTATCTTATGTTCATTAACCCCCACTTTTGCAATGAACATGAACAAAACGTGAAATAGTGACTTAAAAAAAGTCTTAAAGAAAAGACTCAAGTTCAGCCTTTATAAAGTGTAGCTGCAGGTGAGGTACAAACATTGGATACAATGTAGAAACAGACAGAATATTGCCAGATGCGACTTCAACAGGCAGAGGGGAAGCTGAAACAAATATAACAAGATTGAGAAAATGATATGTAATATAATAATAATAAAATGAGCGCGCTTACATTATCAGGAAGCATATCCCTTACAGGGGGGTAGGCAACCATTGACACCAAGACTACATTTTTCTTGATGCTTTTCCAGGATTATGGCTTTAAGAGCATCCCAGGAGATGTAGTCCACAATATCTGGAGTACAGAAGCAGTGTTGTTCCTAGAGTCTCTGGCGCCTGGGTGCTAGAATATTTTTGGCACCCTGAAGTGGGCTTGGCTATGTTACCCCTTCGCAAACATAAAACTTTTAACCACACCCATTTTCTATTGAAACCACTCCACCTCTTTGGGCCAACCAACATCTCCAAGTAACATGTCACCCACTTCCTAAAGTGTCAACATTGTCCCCAGAAAGCTTATCAGTGCCATCTTTGTACTCCGCTTCCCGGTGCCATTTCTGTCCCCATACAGCTTCCCAGTGCCATCTTTGTCCCAAAATAGCTAATCAGTGCCAACTTTGTGGCCATGTAGCTTATTAGTAACATCTTTGTGCCCAATAGCTTATCAGTGCAATTTTTGTGCTCAAATAGCTAATCAGTGCCAAACAAAAACTTAATCTTGGGATAGAGCATTGGCAGTAGGCTGTAGTGGGATAGTAACTGAGGATTTAGGGGTGTAGTAGGGTGCTAGGGGCTATAATGGGGGGCTAGGGACTGTACTGAGGAGACAGATACTGTAGTGAGAGAGTTAAGGGCTGCAGTGGAGTGTATGGGCTGTAATTGGGGGTTAGAAAAGGTAGTGGGGGGATAGGGGCTGTAGTAGTGGAATAGGGTCTGTAAAGGGGGGTACGGGCTGTTGTAAGGTTCTGTAGTGGGGGCTAGGGACTGTAGTAGGGGGTTAGGGGCTGTAATAGGGCATATGGGCTGCAATTAGGGGGATAGGGACTGAAGAAAATAACAGTAATTACATTTGCTCTCTGAGACTTAATGTTAATGCAATATGTTATATTGAGTTATTGCATTCATTGGTGATAAATTGTGTGCGCTAGTAACTAAATTGCTCATAATCCAGAATTCATTGTCTTCTATAGAAATCATAGTTGGACATCTTTGAAGCATTTTTCTTTGTTACATGTTGTATGATCACTGATTATGTTTCAATTGTATAGATTGTTGTCAAAACAAGTTATATTTTTAAGTAATATAGGTATTGTATGTTATATTGTATTGATTTACAAATTGAAGTTGAACTACAAGAATTTAGGGTCAGAGATAATATAGTATGTATCTCTTTAGATCAAAATTATAAATGAAAATATAAATAATATTTATATTAATATTCATATTAACAATAATATTCTAATATTAATACAATTGTACATTTTTCATAAGTTTCACAACATATTTTTTATATTTTAAAATTATCCCTACAGTGCCCATTTGAGATATTTCACTGTGCTTCAAGATCCAAGGCAACTCCCAAGAGATGTCTTAGCATGCTTTTCTAGATCCTACTTTAAGGACATAGTTATGCAAGCAGCCAGAAAAAAAAATACATTCAGAGATAACTGTAAGGATATATAAATCTTCCAAGACCTGTCATTTGCAACAAGATCAGCAAAAATGAAATTCATAGATCAAACTTGAAATTTGAGGACATAAGGAGTCCATTATACATGGACATTCTGCACAGTGGCTCCCATTTCCTTTTCTGATCCTAAGGCTTTACAAGAAAAATAAGTTCATTGGAACATTATTGGAAAACAAAAGGGTCAAAATACTTAAAGGGACACTATAGTCACCAGACCAACTACAGCTTATTGAATTTGTTCTGGTGAGTGGAATCATTACCTTCAGGCTTTTTGCTGTAAACACTGTCTTTTCAGGGAAAATGTAATGTTTACATTACAGCCTAATGATAACTTCACTGGCCACTCCTCAGATGGCTGCTAGGGATCCTTCCTGGGTCATGGCTGCCTAAAATGCATCCAAACATTCAGTATCTCCTCCCTCTGCATGCAGACAATGAACTTTCCTCATAGATATTCATTGATTCAATTCATCTCTATGAGGAGATGCTGATTGGTCAGGGCTGTGTTTGAATCATGCTGGCTCTGCCCCTGATCTGCCTCTTTGTCAGTCTCAGCCAATCCTATGGGGAAGCATTGTGATTGGATCAGGCTACCACTTCTGATGATGTCAGCAGACTGCATGTTTCTTTTTTTTAGGCAAACAGCATGCAGATCTACTGCTTCTGGCTTGAATATAGTAAGATATTGATATATTTATGGAGGCATGAGGGGCCCAGGGGGGCTTGATGGTGGTTTTAACACTATATGGTCAGGAATACATGTCTGCGTTCCTGACCCTATAGTGATCCTTTACTATATGTTTCTGGGTCGATGTGATATATATCTGTAATTATAACTAAAACTATTATTACTTATTTGCACTTACATTACAGCTAGATATGTGAGGATAATATCACTTAAAGTACTGATATCACTGTTACTTTATATATATATATATATATATATATATATATATAACGTTACCATTTAAAATATTGACACTATGGCTACCAAAAGGATTAAACATTTTACCATATACTGTAGGGCGTTTATTATGTATATTTGACTATATTTGTATAAATCACTATTATTTCACTTATGTTAAAAATTTGGCAGTACTGTTTAAAATATCAATATATATTATTAGCACTAATATTTTACATTTTAGCCAAAATATGGGATGATAATATTTAAATGATTGATATAAGTATTTCTCCCTGATTGTTTAAGTATATTGAACAAATCTTGTGATGTAAATTTTAAAAGATCGGAGGAAGGTCAAAGACAAAGTTGTAGAATAATTTGTTTATATGAGATTCCTTTCCTTTCCATTCCATTTCCCTTTTCTCGAGCCTCCCCCTAATTATGTGAATTAGATTAGTTACTTTTCATGTCAGGGGGCTAAATATACCACAAAAGATAGGATGTCAATGTCAGAATAACATATGACCCAACACGCAGCGTTTAACCCCTTAAGGACACATGACGGAAATATTCCTTCACAATTCCCTTTTATTCCAGAAGTTGTGTCCTTAAGGGGTTAAGAAAACAAGACTATAATGTAAACACTAAGAAAGATATGTATTACCTGGCCTTAAAGTGGCCACACATCACGTAATAAGGAATGGTCAGGAAAGAGCCAAGTTCAGGGGTACAGAATGAGACAAAAACAAGGAGAAAAAACAATAGGTCAAGGATTACAGAAACAGGGATAGTCAAGAACTAGCCAAAGTCAAAATATCAAAAGAATCACAAGATGTATTCACTCTCTAATAACCAACAAGTGGAAACCATGACAGGGCACCCATAAACAGCACTTTTGGGTTTAAATAACCGTAGGAATGTAATGATTGGACAAAACTGACCTTGTGCCCCCAAAACGACAATCGGATTCTCATCATTAACTAAATGTACAGGGGCACGGCTATAAATATTAACAGAATTGTAGTGGCTGGTGTCCTTCAGAATGCTATTCCAGCCGGGGGCGGCAGTGTATGTGGATGGGGCGACAATCCACCAAAAATCCAAAAAATATGTCCAGCGCTCAAACTTCTACTACTCCCAGCTTTTATTATTATTATCATTATAATTATATTTCTATAGCGCCAACAAATTCCA